ACCCCAGTCACTGAATCAATCCACCTCATAGAGGACCTTCTCCTCCTGCGCCCTCCCTGCACCCTCCCAAGCATGGTGTCCCTCTCCAAGGACCAGTCTCTCCTTACAACATGTCCAAAGTATGTCACACTGAACCTCAGAATCCTTGCCTCTCAGGAGTCGCCCGGTTTAACCCTCTCCAGGATGAATCTGTTTTCCTAGCAGTCCATGGTACCCTCAATAGTCTTCTCCAGCACCACAGCTCAAAGGCATCAATTCTCCTTCTATCCTCCTTAGTCATTGCCCAACTCTCTGATGCATAACAAGTGACAGCAAAGACCGTGCCTGTATCAGACGCACCTTAGTCTCCAGAGGGACACCATTGCTCTTCAGTACTTTGGAGAGGTCCCTAACAGCCGACTTTCCCTTGGCAATACGTCTTTTAATTTCCTGGCTACTGGTGTCGAGAGTGTTGACTGTGGAGACAAGCAAACTAAAGTTGTGGACAATCTCAAGCTCTTCACCATCCATCCTGATGCTGCCATCCTGATGCCTGGTCCAGTGGTAAGAATCTGTCTTCTTGACATTAAGCCTCAATCCATATTGGAGGCTGCAGTCCTTGACCCTCTGCAGCAAGCATTTCAGGTCCTCCTCAGTTTCAGCAAGCAGAGTTGTGTCATCTGCATAATGCAGATTGTTGATGAATCTTCCACCAATCCTGACACCACACTTCTCATAGAGCCCATCCTCCCAGACAATCTGTTCTGCATACAGGTTGAAAAGGTATGGAGACAGGACACATCCCTGTCGTACGCCTTTCCCAATTTTGAACCATGCAGTGTTTCCCTGCTCTATTCTGACGACTGCCTCCTGGTCCAAGTATAGGTTTCACATTAGCACAATCAAGTGTTCTGGTATTCTCATTTTTCTCAGAGTCAGCCAAAGTTTGTTATGATCCACACAGTCAAATGCCTTTGCATAATCAATGAAACACAGATATACATTCCTCTGGTATTCCCTGCTTTCAGCTAAGATCCATCTAACATTAGCATCCCATGGACAGTCAAAAAAACCAAACATGTCTTGGAGAGGGTGCAGCCAAAGTGCTTTTTGGAGGCAAGAATGACATATACCTCATATATACTTCAGGTGTGTTTTTAGGGTGTTCCTTAAGAGAGGGATGATGTTGGGAAGGGTGGAAGATCAGTGAAGGAAAGGAAGACTCTCAACCAGGTGGATTGACACAGTGACTCCTGCAGTGGGCTCGTGTGTGTCAGGAAGTGTGAGGATGGTGCAGGATAGAGCAGGGTTCAAATCTTTTGTTCATAGGGTCACTATGAGTCATACTTGACGGCACCTAACAACAACAACATGGCCTTTAACACTACGTGTCCTTGTTGTCAGGGGCCATCAAGTCTACTCATAGCAACCCTATGAAGAACAGAGGTGAACCTTGCCCTATCCTGTAATCCTCAGGACCCTGTGACAGTCACGACATCATCCATCTGTAACCTTTCCCAGGATGATGTCTGTCCCAAGCACTAGTTCCACCTGAAATATGCTCACCATCCTTACCTCCAAGGAGCACTCTGGTTGCACTTTCTTCGAAACAGACCCGTTTGTCTTGTTTTGGTTTTCCATGGGGTGTTCAGGACTCTCCCAAGCCTACCCTTCACACACATCACCTGCTCTTCTGTTCATCTTTCAGACACATAGGAAGCACTGGACAATCCTGTGGCCGGTGTCAGGCACACCTGACATCCTTGCTCTGCGGAATGTTTTCAAACAGAAGTCCTTAACATAAGATTGGCCCAATGCAACACGTCTCTTGATTTCTTGACCCCTGCTTCCATGGGCATTGATTGTAGGTCCAAGTGCAGGAAGTCTTTGGCAACGTCAATCTTTTCTCCACTTCTCGTGATACTCATCCACTGGTGAGGATTTTTGCTTTTCTTTTAATTTTTCACTTGTTGCTTTTTTTAATTATTAATTTTATTGAAAGTTTAGGGTTTCCAGTCATTCATTGTTGCCTTTTCTCCCTGCCCACCCCCTCCCCCCAATCAGTCCTCTCCTTGTTATGCAATCTCTTTCATTATTATGCAATCCCTTCCCCCAAGTTCACTCCACTGTGCAGCCTTCATTCTGGACTCCTGTCATGACAATAATACCCAATCATGTATCCCTTTTAAACAGTTCTCTCCCTCATCTGTTTCAGTGCAGTATACATCATTCCTCCCCTCCTTTTCTGTCTTCCCTCAACCCTGATGTCAGTCCTATTTTACAATAGTGGCCCTATGCAATATTTGTCCTTTTGTGACTGGGATATTTCACTCAGCAATGTCCTCCAAGGTCATCCATTTTGCATAATATTTCATGAGTTCCTTGTTTTTTAATGCTGCATCGTATTCCATTGTGTGAATATGCTAGAGCTTCTCTATCCATTTTTTTGTTGATGGACACTTGGGTTGTTTCCAGCTCTTTGCTGTTGCGAACAAAGCCACGGCAAACATGGGTGTACATATATCTGTTTGGGTGGCAGTTATGATTTCTTTACGGTGACTTTTGCTTTCTTGATGTTGGGATGTAATGAAGGCTCTAGTCTTTGATTTCTGAAGTAGGTGCGTCAAGTCGTCTTCACCTTCTGCAAGCAAGGCTTTGGCCTCAGCTTAAGTCTGGTTGTTTGGTTTTGTTTGTTTGTTTATTTTTATTATATTTATTTTTACGTGTACCGTCAAATCAGATCTGACTGGTAAAGGAGGAGATTGCAGAGCATCTGGTGGATTTGAACCGCGTACCTCTGGGATTGCAGTGCAGCATCTTGCCACTAGGCCACCAGAACTC